ACTGTGTGACTGTGTGAGTGTGTGAGTGCGTGATTGTGTGACTGTGTGACTGCGTGATTGCGTGAGTGCGTGACTGCCTGATTGCGTGAGTGCGTGACTGTGTGACTGCGTGACTGTGTGACTGTGTGAGTGCGTGACTGCGTGAGTGCGTGACTGCCTGATTGCATGAGTGCGTGATTGCGTGACTGTGTGACTGTGTGAGTGTTTGACTGTGTGAGTGCGTGACTGCGTGATTGCGTGAGTGCGTGACTGCCTGATTGCGTGAGTGCGTGATTGCGTGACTGTGTGACTGCGTGACTGTGTGACTGTGTGAGTGCGTGACTGCGTGAGTGCGTGACTGCCTGATTGCGTGAGTGCGTGATTGCGTGACTGTGTGACTGTGTGATTGCGTGAGTGCGTGACTGTGTGACTGTGTGAGTGTTTGACTGTGTGAGTGTTTGACTGTGTGACTGTGTGAGTGTTTGACTGTGTGAGTGCGTGACTGCGTGATTGCGTGAGTGCGTGACTGCCTGATTGCGTGACTGCCTGATTGCGTGACTGTGTGAGTGTGTGACTGCGTGACTGTGTGACTGTGTGTGACTGTGTGACTGTGTGACTGTGTGAGTGTGTGTGACTGTGTGACTGTGTGAGTGTGTGTGACTGCGTGAGTGCGTGACTGCGTGAGTGCGTGACTGCCTGATTGCGTGACTGCGTGACTGTGTGACTGCCTGACTGCGTGAGTGCGTGAGTGCGTGACTGCCTGATTGCGTGACTGCCTGACTGCGTGAGTGCGTGATTGCGTGACTGTGTGTCTGTGTGACTGCGTGACTGTGTGAGTGTGTGATTGTGTGACTGTGTGAGTGTGTGACTGCGTGGACTGTGTGAGTGTGTGATTGTGTGACTGCGTGAGTGCGTGACTGCCTGATTGCGTGAGTGTGTGACTGCGTGAGTGCGTGATTGCGTGACTGTGTGACTGCGTGACTGTGTGACTGTGTGAGTGCGTGACTGCGTGAGTGCGTGACTGCCTGATTGCGTGACTGTGTGACTGTGTGATTGCGTGAGTGCGTGACTGCCTGATTGCGTGACTGTGTGAGTGTGTGACTGCGTGACTGTGTGACTGTGTGTGACTGTGTGACTGCGTGACTGTGTGAGTGTGTGTGACTGCCTGACTGTGTGAGTGCGTGAGTGCGTGACTGCCTGATTGCGTGACTGCATGACTGCGTGAGTGCGTAATTGCGTGACTGCGTGACTGTGTGTCTGTGTGATTGTGTGACTGTGTGAGTGTGTGACTGCGTGACTGTGTGAGTGTGTGATTGTGTGACTGCGTGAGTGCGTGACTGCCTGATTGCGTGACTGCCTGACTGTGTGAGTGCGTGACTGCCTGACTGCGTGAGTGCGTGACTGCGTGAGTGTGTGACTGCGTGAGTGCGTGACTGCCTGATTGCGTGAGTGCGTGATTGCGTGACTGTGTGAGTGTGTGATTGCGTGAGTGCGTGACTGCCTGACTGCGTGAGTGCGTGAGTGTGTGACTGCGTGAGTGCGTGACTGCCTGACTGCGTGAGTGCGTGACTGCGTGAGTGCGTGACTGCCTGACTGCGTGATTGCGTGACTGTGTGAGTGTGTGATTGTGTGACTGCCTGACTGTGTGACTGTGTGTGTCTGTGTGAGTGTGTGACTCTGTGACTGTGTGTCTCTGTGACTGTGTGAGTGTGTGACTCTGTGAGTGTGTGACTGTGTGACTCTGTGACTGTGTGACTCTGTGACTGTGTGTCTCTGTGTCTCTGTGACTGTGTGACTGTGTGACTGTGTGACTCTGTGACTGTGTGTCTCTGTGTCTCTGTGACTCTGTGACTGTGTGACTCTGTGAGTGTGTGACTCTGTGAGTGTGTGACTCTGTGACTGTGTGTCTCTGTGACTCTGTGACTGTGTGTCTCTGTGACTGTGTGACTCTGTGACTGTGTGACTCTGTGACTGTGTGTCTCTGTGACTGTGTGTCTCTGTGACTGTGTGACTCTGTGACTGTGTGTCTCTGTGACTCTGTGACTGTGTGTCTCTGTGACTGTGTGACTCTGTGACTGTGTGACTCTGTGACTGTGTGTCTCTGTGACTCTGTGACTGTGTGTCTCTGTGACTCTGTGACTGTGTGTCTCTGTGACTGTGTGAGTGTGTGACTGTGTGAGTGTGTGACTCTGTGAGTGTGTGACTCTGTGACTCTGTGACTGCGTGACTGTGACTGTGTGAGTGTGTGACTCAGAGTCCTGCACGGGTCTGATTTTCAAGACCCGCTCCCGCCCCGCCCCCGCGACGTTTAATACCGAACCCGCCCTGCTACCCGCACATATTGCCAATTAGTTCCGCAACCCGACCCGAACCCGCATATATATGAGCACTGAAAACGTGCAATTATTAACACACGCAGTTGCATATTTGTCTCAAAAAGCGTGGGATGTTGGTTATTTTCTCCGTCTAGGAACCAAAAGCCTCCAGACGTTGGATTTCGCTCTTGAGGAAGTGTTATTGAAAATGCTGTATTCTCCGCTACAGAGCTTCACCGCAGCCATTTCGAATGTGGCGCGCACAGCAGCAGATTGATGCGCTGCAGAGGTTATGATTATGCGCGGTCCCGCGGGGGAGAGGTCTGAGGATTTTAAACATTAAACTAAATTATTATTATTTTAATATATTTATTATGCAATACCCGCGACCCGACCCGCATCATCTTTGTTTTACCCAGAACCGAACCCGGAAAAAAGCGTTTGAAAAAATACCACCCGCGAATCACCATTTTTGCGGGTCACCTGTCGGGTACCCGACCCGATGCAGGACTCTGGTGTGACTGCGTGACTGTGTGAGTGTGTGACTGTGTGAGTGTGTGACTGTGTGACTGTGTGACTGTGTGACTGTGTGACTCTGTGACTGTGTGAGTGTGTGACTCTGTGACTGTGTGAGTGTGTGACTCTGTGACTCTGTGACTCTGTGAGTGTGTGAGTGTGTGACTCTGTGACTCTGTGACTGTGTGACTGTGTGACTGTGTGAGTGTGTGAGCGTGTGACTCTGTGACTGTGTGAGTGTGTGACTCTGTGACTGTGTGACTCTGTGAGTGTGTGAGTGTGTGACTCTGTGACTCTGTGAGTGTGTGAGTGTGTGACTCTGTGACTGTGTGAGTGTGTGACTCTGTGACTGTGTGACTCTGTGAGTGTGAGTGTGTGACTCTGTGACTCTGTGAGTGTGTGAGTGTGTGACTGTGTGACTGTGTGACTCTGTGACTGTGTGAGTGTGTGAGCGTGTGACTCTGTGACTCTGTGAGTGTGTGACTCTGTGACTGTGTGACTGTGTGACTCTGTGAGTGTGTGACTCTGTGAGTGTGTGACTCTGTGACTCTGTGAGTGTGTGACTCTGTGACTGTGTGAGTGTGTGACTCTGTGACTCTGTGACTGTGTGAGTGTGTGACTCTGTGACTGTGTGACTGTGTGACTCTGTGACTGTGTGAGTGTGTGACTGTGTGACTCTGTGACTGTGTGAGTGTGTGACTCTGTGACTGTGTGACTGTGTGACTCTGTGACTGTGTGAGTGTGTGACTGTGTGTCTGTCCGGCCCTTGAGGTTGGAGCTAAAAATAGATCCAGCATTGAAGGCCACATCCTCCGTGTCAGCAGGACGTCATCATGTAGCTGGGAGGGGCTGCATTTCCTCTCACTGCTAAGAATGGGTTTCATTGTGATGTACATTTAAACTGGGTATGGTTACAAATATATATATATATTTGGACTAGATCTTTAAATCTGGAAACCCCTTTGTGGTTAAGCTTGACAAGTGCTATATGAATGAAAAATATGATCATAATTATTTATATGATTATTATATTATTATGATTATTGAGAACAATAATTATAATTAATGTTATTTTTATTTTGTATATTTTTATTAAATCATGTTTTTTAGTTAAATTATTGTTTTATTTAAATTATTGTATTTATGATGTATTATTATTATTGTTTAGAAAATGGTTGCATTTATGTATTTATTATTAGTAGTAATAGTAGTAGTAGTATCATTATGGATGTTGTTATTATTATAATTAGTATTGTTGCACATTTAAAACTGTGTTAGACATACTGTCTGTGCTGCCTTAGTCCGTTTTCATTTTGTTAATAGCATGAAAATCACTATTGTTTTGTGTACACATAAATATGACTCTGCTACTCAGTTAAGACGAACAAAGCAACCAAACAACAGGACTATAATGCAACACCTATCGGAAAAAAATAGATGTATACATATGCCTACTTGATAAATGCATGTACAAAAACCACCATAAATACCCTGAAATTACCCTGTATGTGTAATTCGAGAAACGTTGTCCATGTTGATTACAGTATTTAATATATTCGCTTGATAGAAAGTGAGTCTATTGCGTCATCATGTGGCAGCCGTGCATTACTGCAGTGTTGTAATGATGTGTTCAGGTGCTGTCGGAATCATTACAACTAGGCCAGGAAAGAGTTGGGAATATCAGAGGCTGGCAAAAGCAACATTTTAGACTCAATTGCCTTACATTTGGGTAATTTCGCAGTCAAAAATGGCAATATTTTCTTTCAGTGCGGAGAAAACACGTACTTTAATTTCCCAAGCAGTAGGTGCAGAGACAAATAGCCAACTATAACTGTTGATAAATATAATTTGAAGTCTTCACATGCACATGGTGTTTGAAAAATACTAAAATACTTTCAATTTGGCATCGGTTTGTAGTTATAACATCCACGAGTCCTATCCTTCAACAGACTTGAAGGGAAATTTTGTGCAGGGAAATTGTTAATCGATTAAAATCCATATTCTATAAAGTTCAAAATCAACCAAAATATTTTTCGTTACGCTCAATTCCTTTTTTATATTTTCTATTATTATTTAAAATATTAAACTAGCGTTTGTATACAAATAAATCCAGTATATCATGCACACACATGCAGAAGTTGACTATTTCCGACGGTCTGTGAAGTATTATCCAACACTGTGCGTGTACGTCATCATCACGCGACCAAAATCGGGTGAAAGGTAGCCCGGCTGAGGTTGTTTATGACACTCCTGTGGAATACAAGAAGCAGTGTTTTACTCCAGGAGAAATGATGAGTGTTAACAGATTAATTCTCTCTAAATCAGCTCAGATCAGACAGCTGCTGTGTACCGTGAAGCATGCTGGGAAACATGTGGTTCTCCAGAGGAACATCAGAACCCACAGCAGGAACCTGGCTTATGCTAAAGATCTGTTCCTGGGTCAGGTGAACAAGGTGAGAGTCTACCTGTCAGAGGAGGGGGTTATACTGTGGTAGAGATACATGTTGCCTTAATGCAGTGGTGTCAAGTAAGTAGATTTACTCAAATACTGCACTTTAAAACACATTTGAGGTACTTGTACTTGAGTATGTCCATGTTTGGCTGCTTGATTGATTGATTGATTGATTGATTGATTGATTGATTGAAAAGTGTATTAACAGCTTGTATATTGGGTACAGTACAGTACAGCTCAAAACATACAATTGTTAAGGGGATGCAGACCAGAGAAAGACTTTCGTCTTGTTTACATCAGGGTCCCCCATTTCCAATTCATCGTATCATTTAAGACATATAAGACATATAAGACATATTTGACATACAGATGGCTTATTTACAATTTACATACAGGTGGTTTTTTACATACAGATTGCTTATTTACAATTTTCATTTTAGATTTCGTTCTAATACATCCTAACCGGACATTTAAGACATACCAAGTCTACAGATATACAGTTAGTAACAGAGTCTAAAATGCGAGTATATACATAGATGGGGGGGGGGAAGCTGTCCATTGAACGACAGGTTGAGATTTGTACCATTACCGGGGCCAGTTTTGCAATGCTCTCCCCCGAAGGTGCTCTTTAAGAGAGGTTTGAAGGTAAGTATAGTTTTACTTTCCTTTACAGTTGTGGGAAGAGCGTTCCACCTTGATGTGGCATAATTGCGAAACGTGTATTCCCCCTTTTTTGTGCCAAATCTGGGTTTCACATGATTTGTGGAGCTCCCTCTGGTGTTATGATCATGGTATTCCTTGACCTTTGGGAAGAATGTTGACATGTACATGGGTACCATAGAGGTGTAGTGGATCTGTAGACCAGGCCCATTGCAAGTAGCTGTACTCTGTCGTCTACTCTAAGCCATCCTAGGTTGTCAAAGTGGGCAGAGGTGAGGTGGGTTCTAGATGAAAGGTCAAGCAGTAGTCTGACCAGTTTATTTTGCGATGTTTGAAGTTTTATTTTTAGCGCCTTGGAGGTGCTATGGTCCCATGACGTGCAAGCATAGTCATAGTACCCTTGAATGAGTGCTCCTGCCAGAGTTTTCAGGGTGTTTTTGTTTACCAGAGAGGAGATCCGGTATAGGAATCTAGTTCTTTGATTGACTTTTTTTATTACATTGGATGCCATTTTGTCACAGGAGAGGTTTGCCTCAAGAATAGATCCTAGGTATGTAATTTCCTTCTTACTTGTGACAATAATGTCGCCCACTGCAACTGAGAAGTCGTCGGATTTGCTGAGATTATGTTTCGAACCGAAGAGAATGGACTCTGTTTTACCCAGGTGTAATGATAATTTATTATCGGCGAGCCAGGTGCAGATTCTCCCGAGCTCGGAGCTGAGGGTTTTTTCAACCTGCAACCTGTTCCTGTCAGAGACCAGCAGGGCTGAGTCGTCCGCGAACAGGAACAAGTTGCAGTCACATGCTGGTGACATGTCATTTACATAAATTAGGAACAGTAACGGACCTAATATGCTTCCTTGTGGAACACCACAGCTCACTGGGAGGGGGGGGGACAGAGTACCGTTTACCTCCACCATCTGTTCTCTCCCCTCCAGGTAGGACTGCATCCAGCTCACCGATAGTTTATCAAAACCAATTGCTTTTAGCTTGTCAATCAGAATGGGGAGATTGACAGTGTCGAAAGCCTTTTGTAGGTCCAGCATCACCATGCCGCAGTACTTGCCCTCGTCCACCTCTTGTTTGATGTGGTCGCTCAAATAAAGAAGGCATGTGTCAGTGGAGTGGGATGTTCTAAAGCCAGATTGAAATTCATAGATTAGTTTCTTTTCCGCGAGGTACTTTTCGACCTGTTCATATACTATTTTATCCATGACTTTCGAGATGGAGGTAAGTATAGAGAAGGGCGGTAGTTGCCTGGGTTCAATTTGCTGCCCTTTTTGTGCAGGGGGGTTACTCTTGCAATTTTGAAGTCTTTGGGTACTTTTCCCTGTTTTATGGAGAGGTTAATTATGTGAGCTATGACTGGTGAGATGGCGGTTGCTGTGTCTCTGAGGAATTTGGAGGGGATATTGTCGTGGCCAGTGGCCTTGTTAGGTTGGAGGGCGCTCAGTTTAATGAGTACCTCTGCTGTTGTTACCCTTGCTAGACTGAAATCATCTTTGCGTACCCCTAGGTTTTTGTAGTAGGTCATGATGTGATCTACTCCAAAAAGCCCTGAGTGGGAGGGTCATTTATTTACAAGAGTTGTGGCTATGTTTGTGAAAAAAAATGTCAAGTACTTGGCCACATCTGCTTTGTACTTCTTCCCAGATGTGAGAGAAGTACTCATGTGTTTTACTTGAGTAAAAGTAGAAGTACTCAGATCTTGTACTTGAGTGAAAGTAGAAGTACTCCGGTCTTGTACTTGAGTAAAAGTAGAAGTACTCAGATCTTGTACTTGAGTAAAAGTAGAAGTACTCAGATCTTTTACTTGAGTAAAAGTAGAAGTACTCAGATCTTGTACTTGAGTAAAAGTAGAAGTACTTAGATCTTGTACTTGAGTGAAAGTAGAAGTACTCCGGTCTTGTACTTGAGTGAAAGTAGAAGTACTCAGATCTTGTACTCAGTAAAAGTAGAAGTACTCAGGTCTTGTACTTGAGTAAAAGTAGAAGTACTCAGATCTTGTACTCAGTAAAAGTAGAAGTACTCAGGTCTTGTACTTGAGTAAAAGTAGAAGTACTCAGATCTTGTACTCAGTAAAAGTAGAAGTACTCAGGTCTTGTACTTGAGTAAAAGTAGAAGTACTCAGGTCTTGTACTTGAATAAAAGTAGAAGTACTCAGATCTTGTACTTGAGTGAAAGTAGAAGTACTCAGATCTTGTACTTGAGTGAAAGTAGAAGTACTCAGATCTTGTACTTGAGTAAAAGTACTCAGGTCTTGTACTTGAGTGAAAGTAGAAGTACTCAGATCTTGTACTTGAGTAAAAGTAGAAGTACTCAGATCTTGTACTTGAGTGAAAGTAGAAGTACTCAGATCTTGTACTTGAGTGAAAGTAGAAGTACTCAGATCTTGTACTTGAGTAAAAGTAGAAGTACTCAGATCTTGTACTTGAGTAAAAGTAGAAGTACTCAGATCTTGTACTTGAGTGAAAGTAGAAGTACTCAGATCTTTTACTTGAGTAAAAGTAGAAGTACTCAGATCTTGTACTTGAGTAAAAGTAGAAGTACTCAGATCTTGTACTTGAGTTAAAGTAGAAGTACCAGATCTTGTACTTGAGTAAAAGTAGAAGTACTCAGATCTTGTACTTGAGTAAAAGTAGAAGTACTCAGATCTTGTACTTGAGTTAAAGTAGAAGTACCAGAGTGTAGGAATACTCTGTTACAGTAAAAGTCCTGCATTCAAAATGTTCCTCAAGTAAAAGTAGAAAAGTATTCTCATCAAAATATAGTGAAAGTAGCGACAGTAAAAGTAGTCGTTGTGCAGATTGGTCCATTTCAGAATAATATATATGATATGTTTTCTAATGATTGATCATGGAAGTGTTCTCAAAGCTGGTGAAGGAGCAGCTAGTTTGAATGACAAGCAGAGTACTTGAGTACATTCACTTAGTTACTTTACCCCACTGAGTAAATTCAGGAAAGCTTTCTGATCAGAAATGCAGAACGTAACACCGTTTTTATAATTAGTTTCTCTCCGTGAGAACCTGGGTATTTGTTGTTTCTCTAACTGTGTCTTCCCTCCAGGACGAGGTCTTCCCGTACCCTGAGGTTTCTTTAGAGGAAGTGGAGGAGATCAACCAGCTCGTTGCTCCGGTGGAGAGGTTCTTCAGCGAGGAAGGTGAGAGAGGAGCTCCATGGATAACAAAAGAAAAAGTCCGAATTTTGAGATTTTTAGGAAAAGTCAGAATTTTTTGAGAGAAAAGTCAGATTTTTTTTTGATTTTCAGAATAAAGCCAACATTTTGAGACAAAACTCAGTATTATGTACATGACAGGATGTATGATTACCTAGAAGACTCCATCTTGTGACTGTGTAACTCCCTCTCTTGGATATCAGCATGTGAAGGACACTGTTCAGGAACTAGTTGATGCTCTGTATGTGATGACTACTTCCATTCTGGAGAGGATCACAGATACATGGATCCTGAGATTGAAGCTCAAGCCGGGGACCAGGGAGATTGTTCTAACAAATTACCTTTTTTTATTGTGATTTCAGTCGACTCAGCGAAGATCGACCGAGATGCTAAGATCCCAGCAGAGACTCTGAACGGGCTGAAGGAGCTCGGGCTGTTTGGAGTGATGGTTCCCGAGGAGTACGGTACGATGATGTGACAACTGTTTGGAGTTATGAAAAAGGCTCATATCTCTCAATGTATGCACAAACAGTTACCAAGGCAGAATGGAGATATGTGAAATGGACACCCTGATAGAAAGCTTAAAGAATAGAGGCTCAGACACTAAACAGAAAGGATTTAAGATATATCTAGAGTTCATCTATCATACAGAAATATTTACAAGCTTAAAAAAACCACCAACCAAATACCCTCAAAGAAGAGAAAAAGCATTTGACCTCCATACTGTGTCAGAAATAATCCTTGGTGTGGTTTGGAACACGATATGGCATTAATAGATCTTTAAGTAAAAGTACTTTCTTCTTGTCACCCCAGGGGGTCTTGGGCTGACCAACACGGTGTACGCCCGGCTGGCAGAGATCACCTCTCTGGACGGATCCATCGCCGTGACGCTGGCCGCTCACCAGGCCATCGGACTGAAGGTAACACACAGACAAGAGACGAGATGAGATGAGAAGTACTTTATTGATCCCAATTTGGGAAATGTTTGCGTTGCAGCAGCATAAAGGCATTCACAATACAAATCAAAAGACTAGAAATAAACAAGAAAGTAGAAAATGTTGAATTAACAAGATTTAAAGCAAGTTATTATATATACATAAGTATCTGAGAGATGGAATATTAAACTGAATATATGAATGTAAAATGTACAGTGTGATTTCAAGGGAAAGACAAGGAGACGGATAGAGACGGGAATCTTTAGGATGTGAGATACTGATATCTATCAAACTGCTTATCGACAGAACTCCTTAATGAATGATTTGGTGTAAAACGTCACATGAGAAGGGTCTTTTTATTGTTACTGAGAGAACTGTATAGCAATGGTCCTTTTCACAAGCAAATGATAATAAATACCTTTTAAAACCAAATTAACAAAAGACAACAAAAGGGATTTATTTGCCTAACACCCAAAAACATAATCGACTCATCATTCAACAGTCTTTGTTTGAAACAATGAGCATCTTCCTCCGTATAATAATAATAATAGATTTAATTTGTCAGCGCTTTTACAGGTGCTCAAAGACGCTTTACAGAGATAGTGAAGGGAAAATAAAATAGAGGAACAACAAATAAATATATAGTTAAAATAAAACAAAAACAATCACACATTAAAAGCCAGGTTGAAGAGGTGAGTGTTTGAAGGTGGTGAGGTCAGCAGTCTCTGATGGGTTGGGGGAGTGAGTTCCAGAGGGGGGGGGCAGCGACGGAGAAGGCTCTGTCCCCCCAGGTCCGGGGATTCATAAGATAAGTAAGTAAAATAGTATAAAATAAGATGAACCTTTATTATTCAGTTGTACAAAGCAGCAACGCGGGAAAAAACAGGACAGCACAGATTAATACAATAAATAATTAAAGCAATAATAATAATAAAAGACTATGAAATAGGAGATGAGTAAATAAGTGTCAGCATATATACATATTTGGTCATCTAAGTTATAAAGTACGGAATAAGTTAAAGTGCAAATGGACATCTGTACATACAGTGACATACCTATCTACCTATGTGGTCTACTACTAATCTATTAGCATGGGTTGTGGACCAATCAGGTTCTCGATTCCTAGTCCCAGATTATGCCATGTTGCTAGTGTTTGTTGATCGTTATGTACCTCAAGTGTGCAGATGGATTAGATAACATCTGGCTTGAAACATCTCTTCTCTATTGAGATGAATGTATTTGTATGCATGGTCTTTGTTTCAATAAATACATACCTTTACAGATTTACAGATGACTCTCTCTGCTCTGAAAACCCTTCTCAGCACAGTAATCTAATCTCACGTTCATCTGTTATGTTAAATGTGGAGGGAAGGTCTTAAATGAACTCAGTTGGCACTTTCCCAGCGGTCTAACAGCTGTTTGGTGTTTCAGGGGATTCTGATCGCAGGGACTGAAGCCCAGAAGCAGAAATATCTTCCCAGGCTGGCGTCCGGAGAACACATCGCAGCGTTCTGCCTCACAGAGCCGGGGAGGTAACGCTGCTGGGATCTCATTTGGATTGAATGTGGATATAATATCCTGCTTTTTTATTTTGTTACCTTACATTTTGAATTCCACATGAAATATTATCCACATTTTATTTCTATTTGAGATGTTTACATTTTGGATTGTTTATTTCTCGTCTTCCGTTATACAAAGCCTTGTCTGTGTATGCTGCTGCAACGCAGACTCTCATCTAAGAGCCTAGGGCATGGTGGCCAACATGAGTACTACAACAACACTTGAGCCTGGAAATAAAGGGTGTTCCTTTACTTCTTCACAGATCTCAAATTAAATAAGAACCAAATATCCTGCCAAAATGTATTTTTCTCATTTTGATTAGATTTAAGGATTGGATCACCTGTTCAGGGCTTCTGGAGTCCATTTGTAATGAATTAAGATCCTTTAGAACAAATCCCAGGTCAAATGATACGTTAGAAGTCTTAAACAAACCTTCTCTTGTCTTAGTATTTGTCTTTATTAATGTTACAAATGTCAGACTCGATCTGAACAATAAAGTAGTATCGTATCGATGTTTCAACAAAGCCACATTAAATCAGCTTCGAGTCAAAGTTGTACGATATTTAAACGTGCGATTGTTTGACGTTTTAATACTTTTCATCAGTTAGAGCAGTGCTTCATATATTATAGGATGACAACCAATCAGAGATGAGCAGTTTAAGTTGCTTCAGGGTTCAAAGGTTTTATGGTCATATGCACAAAGCTACAGTTTAGAAATGGCAATGAAATTCTTCCAACAATGCAACATATAGAATATACAGATGAGAAATAGCGCAAGAAGTCTATATCTCTCTTCTTTGTTGGTGGTTTCAGTGGAAGTGATGCCGCCTCCATTCAGACCCGCGCCGTGCTGTCAGAGGACGGGACGCATTATCTGATCAGCGGATCAAAGGTGAGCCAATCTGTTTCACATTTCCCAAACATAAACCCCCCCTGGTATTATTAGCTGTTTTTATTTTTTTGTATTCTTTATTTGGGTCACATTA